CCTTCCCATCGTGGTAATTGAGTCACTGAATACAAGTGTCAGAGTGTATGTCACCTGCCTTTTCGAGGGACTCTATTTATTTACCTTATTTTACTTTACACTTGTTCCCATTGGACTCTTCCATGTACAGATCATCGCAAGGGGCGACAAAGTCGCTGCATGGCTGTTGCCAACGAAGCTCCATGCAGTTGACTAGGATATCACGGCTGATCACCGTGACGCACCTGCAACTTGAATTTTGTGAACCTATATAAGTATGGCCAAAGCTGTTTAATACGTTGTTCCTGCACTAAAGGCCTAATGCACCCGTCTAATGCAGCAACATAAAGCGCTATAGAATGCTATGAGATCTCCACTGAAACTCTGCTCTTTAGAGCTCTATTCTCAAATGCGTGTGTGTGTGTGTACCATTTTGTTTTTTGCAGGGATCCCTATGGATTGCTTTTAACACTGCAGGGGGGCACAGGAGGCCCAAGCAGCTGCGCCCAACGAAGCTCTCTATGGTAGCCTGATCAGCTGCACGCACCTGCTCTATTGAACTGTTGAACAAGTCGTCATCTTGGTCGATCCGTGATCGTCGTTTCTCGTTTTTTGAGCTTTGGGCCTCCTTTCCGTTTGAAGACCCAAGGCTGCTTTGGGTCTTTACCTGAGCTGTTCAGGATTTGGGAACCCAGGTTGGCGTGTGGCAACCGCTTTCCAATCAGTACGCATTTCCAGAAGTGTGTCTCTCCTTAGTGAGGGCGCAGGGTGAGCCCGCAGAGTGCCCCATGTGGACCCTACCCCCTGCCCGGATACAGAGCAGCTCGCAGCGAGCGTAGGAGGCTTATGCCAAAGTTATTTGCCAAGATTTGACGGTTTATTGTATTCCAAGTAGGCAGTCTCCGGACACGCCATGAGCGGCAAAAAAAGAAAAAGAAAAAGGAGAAAGAAGCGGTCGAAAAGAACACTGCGCCGCGGCGCTGCGGCCACGGAGAGAAAAAGCGAGTTTGCTTGCGCAATTCAATTCTGTTTTCACTTTATTTGGTTTACTTTCTGCACCTGGCTGACATCATGCACTGATCGGTATATTATGGCAGATTCTAGATGCGCCGGATTCGGCTTTCTGTGTGTGTCCACCCCTGTTTCCAAGGGCACTACTCTAGCTATTCCTACTATTCTTTTCAGGAACTCAAACAACTGTACAGAAAATATGCAGGGGGTGCCAGGGACCATGCAAGTCTGGCACTAACAAAGACGCTTGCATTGGTCTGTGATATCAATCCGGGACGCCGGATTGACGTACCTGCTTGAAGAGAAACCTACGTAGAGCACAAGCTGTCTACTTCGTTGTTTCCTTCAGTAAAGTGCTAATGCTCTCGGCTAATGCACTAACTAACTTTAAAGGGCTAATGCACTCCGCGAAGCAGCCTGAAAAACCTTCTCAAGTGTGTACCCCTTGGAATCACAGGGGTCCTTATGGATGGTTTTTAACACTGCAGGGGGGCACAGGAGGCCCAAGGAGCTGTGCCCAATGAAGCTCTTTATGGTGACCTCAGGATATGCAGCCTGATCAGCTGCACGTACCTGCTCTTTTGAACTTTTGAACAAGTTGTGACACTACTCTGCAGTAAAAGGCAAATGCAAACTGCAGATGTGAGCGGCCGTCGTCATCTTGGTCGATCCGTGATCGTTGTTTCTGGTTTTTGAGCTTTGGGCTTCCTTTCCGTTTGAGGCCCAGGCCCCTTTGGGTTTTTACCTGAACTGTTCAGGACTTGGGAACCCAGGCTGGCGCGTGGCAACCGCTTTCCAACCAGTATGCATTTCCATAAGTGTGTGTGCGTGAGCCCAACTAAGAACACTTGTAGCTTGCAAAAAGCTCCCTAGAGTTGCTAACGTTCTCACGGCCTCACACAATACAAAAGATCGACCTCGTCTGGGGCATTGCTGTTGGTCAGTATTGATGCTTGTTCTCAGGAACTTCCCCTGGTCGTTGGGTGGCGAGCTTTGGGGCATTGCAGCCTGGGGCTTGGAGTTGTTTTGAAATGTTTTGAACAGCTGGACTCGACAGGAAATGGTGGGTTCTTGCGAGGTTCCAAAAGCACCCTTGTGTGCAATAGAGTGAGGTGGAATGATGGATGGCCTACAGTATATCTTTTAGATGAATTGGTACTCCGAGTTCTCCTGTTCTTAGAATGCCGTGCGATCAACCGGGGCATCATGTTGCATGTGACTCTGCCAAGCATGTTTCTTCCTGCATCATCTTATAGAACCACACGTCTGAAGTGTCAAAGCGCTTGAATTAGTGTTGCTGGATAAGGAACCTGGCGAGGAGGACGTGGGTCCTGTCACTCAAGGCAGTTTGGCCAGAAAGTGGCAATTGTGTGGAAGCTGCCCAACTTGTTTTGCAGCAGTGGAGTTGGCTGGGTGCGACTTTTGTATGGTGTGCGCGAATGGTCTCACGGGTGCAGGATAAAATGATATGATTCCCCTCTTTGTTTCGTTGTCTCACTTAGGGATTTCTTGTTTGGCCTAGCTATTCTCATCAGTTGTTATTTACACATCCACCATCAACTTGGTGTGCACCAACTTCATCACTTGCACTGAAGTTCCCTCTGTTGATTATTCTCATTCACGCCAAGCTGGGAGTGTCCAAGATATGCTGCCTATTTATACGCTCTTTTTGCTGCGTCTTGGATTCAACTGGTGATGGAGTGGCTACTACTGATACAAGTAGCTGCTAGCTAGACAAGGCCTTTGCGACCCATGGCTTTGGGAGGCCGCCCAAGGGGCGCTGAGACTCACTTTGCTCAGGTAAACGTCAGGTGGACTACCGTCGCTTCCTTCGCAGATTTGATGTGGCTGTGAATAAGGAGAAGTGGGCTGCTCGACAGGTTTATCAACAACTGCGCAACATCCAATTGGCACCTTAAATTCTCCGCCATGGGGAACGCCCTGTTTGTTTTTTTTGTGTATGTGGCCACCGGATGATATTGAGTACTGAGTCCTGATTGTGATTGCTATCTCGGACTGAGAGAGTTTAAGATTGGGATGCAATTGCGAGGAGGATAGTTATTGACTTACCAAGCAGAGATACCGATACCAAAAATTCACTTCACACAGCTTGCATGGTGTTTTGCCTTTCTGAGATTGGTTGGAAGACAATTCTTATGAAAGATGCCTATGAAGCCCTCTACTGTGGCCCGGCGGCGATGTCAGATCGGTTGGTACCCAGACGATGTGTTTTGTCAAGAGGTGAGGAACAAATGTTTTGACATGTTTTGCACAGTTTCAGCTAACTTCCTTGCTTTCTGCCCAAGCTGTTCCGTTTTAAGGTCGTGATGCGGACCTGATTCTAGGCTGCAAAAGGGAGCCAAGCAGACCCTGCCAACAATTGTTAGATGAAATTTGTGTTTTTCCCCAGCAGTGTTTTGTTTACACGGCTTGGTTTTGGTTTGTGGTCATGGCCTTCTGAAGACTGACAATTGCCTTTCAGGCAAGATCAATCTAGACATGGTTGCTATTCAATATTGACCAACAAGCTCGGCTTTTGAGGAAGGCAACATTGGCGCTATTTGACCCAGAGCACACTGGCAGGGTCAGTGTGCAGAACTTTTTGAAACTTGGCGGGCCACACACAAACACACACACACATACTATCACATACTAGTATAATCTAGTATATATATATAATAATAGTAATAATAATACAGTCATACATATGGTATATGATAAGATTAGAGAATCACGTTAGCACATAATATATAGTGTATGGATAAATGTCCTCATAGCTAAGCACAGAACCTATCCGTTTTCACCGTAGCATCGGGCTCTTTAAGGGAGTTTGATGGGAGGGGGGCGTGAGAACCCCCTCCCAGTGTGTGAGCGCTGCCAGCACTTTGTGGTGCGGTCGAGTGGGTTGTCCACTTGTGAACCGTGCCGCAAGGGCTGGCAGCTGCACGTGTCACTCCGAAGTGTGGTGCCTCCTGACCAGGACGAGTCCGCCGTGGTCTACCTGCAGAAGTGCTTCACGCTGCTAGAGGAGTGGATCACCAAGATCCGAGAGTTGGAAGCGAAGGACGGGCCAAAGTCGTCGAGTGGAGAGGAGCCCCTTGAAGAGAAAAGAAGAGCGCAAGGAAAAGCAGATCCAGCCTGAACGTTCAGAGAAAGTTGCAGTACCACCCAAAGCCCCACCTGTCGTGCCTACGCCAAAGCCTGAAGCTACATTGCCTGTTGAAGGGAGGGAAGTGAGCCGAGTGACCTCCCAGAGCCGACCAGTGCCACGACCCAGCCAGCCCCCGGGAGAAGGTCATCGAGGGAGATCACCCAGCTTGGGCTTGTTCGCCAAGAAGAAGGCCGAACCCCGGAGAGCAGTTGAGCCACCTCCAGAAGAAGCAGCCGAGAAAGCCCCAGGGGAGTCGAACGATACTCCCAAACCAAGAAGGAAAAGAAGGAGAGAAGGTGCCCGACATCAACGAGCAGTTCATCAAGACGGAGAAGAAAGAAGGAAAAGCGAAGAAGAGAAAAGGAAAAGCGCGACAATAAGAAGCGCAAGAGATCGACCAGTCCCGGATCGTCGGTGTCGGGATCCCGAGTGCGGGCCGCCAAGAGAAAAGAGCTCAAAAGGCTGCCTACGCCACCTCGTGCCCGAAGCCCCCACACACCTCCAGGTCCACCTCCAGATCCACCACCTGCACCAGCCCGCAGTGCCAGCCCGCCTCCAATTGCCAGGGGGCGAGGGCGTGGGTGGGTTGGACCTATCCCGTGGAGTTCGCATCCAAGGTGGTACACCGGCAAGAATAAGGGCATCACGAGGAGAGCGAAGCAAGAAAAGTTCAATAACCGGTGGTGGTGATGGCGGTTCGTCGAAGGCCAGCCATGAGGGTTGCACCGCCCCGAAAAAAGCCGGCAGCCAGTGCAGAAGAGTTGAAGGTGGATTCATTCACCTACCTCCTTGAGCTCACGGCGGCACAACTTCGATCTTTGGGGTTGGTGGAGCTAGCATACGGTTACTACTATGATGGACTCGTGAAGGTGGCCGGCTATATCACAGGTTTGGGCCGTCATCCTCACTACCTGGAGTTCAAAGTGACCGGAACTCAGACAGAGCGGCTTGTGGAAGCGTTGAGTGAGCCATCGCGGAGGATCATGCAGTTGCACATCTGCCCGAAGGATTGTGCGCATGCGGCGACGGGGGCCGACGTCTTGCATGCCTCCGGTTTCTGGGAGGTTGGTGAGCGGAAGCTGCCATGGCATACAATGTTTGAGGAGGTGAAGACAGCGCCCGAGGAGCCGGACGAGTTGGCCAAGTTGAGGGAGCACTATGCCGCTCGTAGCAAAGCAGTGGCAGGGGAGAAAGAATCTCCCAGTGATGAGGAGGAGAAAGAAAAGAAGAAAAGAAAGAAGAAAAAGAAGGCGAAGGAGAAAGAGAAGAAGCCTGATAAGGGCAAGTCAGACAAAGAAGGAAGTGAAGAGGCTGTGGTCGATCGAGGCCAGAAAGGCTTGAAGAGCCTGTTTGGTGGGACCTGCTTGGACCGTCGAGTGGAGGAGCGATCCAAGCTGATGAGGAAAGCTCGGAAGCTTGGAAAGAAGGAGGGACGCAAAAGGAAGCATTCCTCCAGTGACGATTCTTCATCCGGGAGTTCGACATCAGAGGAGGAGGATTTGGCAGAGACAGGCGAAGGGCTGTTTTCAGAGAAGAAGAGGGCTTTGCGTCTGACCCAGCGCTACCCAGGATGTTTGGGGGCGCAGACGATCGCTGGAATGAAAGAATCGCTATTGACAAGTAGCGGTACGCTGCATTCTTTGGATCGGAAGTCCTTGCCCCCGCTCTACACGCAGTACTATCGCAGTGAGCTGCACTCTTTGGTGTCGCCATCAATGGGCCAGGAGCTCCTTACAATCAGCCAGACGGCTGACTTGCTTCTTCGTGGCCATCCTGCACGGGCCGTTGACTTGTTATCCCAAAGGTTCAAAGCATTAGAACAACAAGCTCGTGGAGCGCATTGGACAGTTGCGCGTCAGTTGGAATTAGTGTCAGCTGACTCAGTTGGGCTCAGTCAAGGAGCTGAAGGTGCAGAAGCGGCTCGCCTGGCTCGAGAAGAAGCCAGGAATCGGAGTGCTGTGCAGCGGCCGTACAACATGGGGGGCAAAGACGCTGGCAAAGCAAAGAACAGACCTGATACACCTGAGGGACGGGAGAAAGGAGACAAAGGAGGAAAAGGGAAAGGCAAAGGGAAAAAGAAAGACAAGCAATGATGACGAGTTCAAAGAAGGAAGAAGTCCCCAGGTGTGAACAAAGTCAGGTCAGAAGAGCATTGAAGAGAGAGGGGGTTGGCAGTGCATTGGTCGAGCAGGACATTGTAGCAGAGGCTGAGAATGACAGCATTGACAGGTTGATACAGGAGTGTGAACGAAAAGGCTTGGATCAAAGAGTGACAAAGGCAAGAAGAGGTTGTGAGGATGGAGGCCAGGGCCATGGTCGCATGTCGCGATCGGCGCCTACAGAGAGTTTACCCCTGCCCGCTGAACCGGGCTTAGCAGCCGAGAGGGCCATGCTGGGTTTAGTTGGAGGGGAGTCGATTTTCCCGAAGGGACCGCTGACTGACTCCCAGTGCCAAAATCGGATTGCAGCGCAGTGGGAGCCAACTTTGTCAGAGGAGCCCGCATTGGTTGGAGGGGAGGGGGAGTTCGGAGACCCCTCCCAAGTGAATGGTGGAGACTCAAGTCGAGTGGGCCACCGTGAGTTGAAGGAGAGCAGCACAAGCTCGAGCGTGCGACTGGCTTTCGAACCGTGCCGCATCGAACTAGAGCAGCGTTGCTTGAAAAAAGGATTTAGTTTTGCTGAGCTGGGAGAGGTGTTGTCTCGAGCATTGGCAGTGGTTGAAAGTTTGTTTGAGCGTTGCAGCCAGCCCAAGGGGGATTTGTTCCCCTTGCCACTGGCTAGTGCCTTGGGACTTCCCGGAACATCAACACCCAGCACAGATGCATTGATTCGTGCGTTGAATTCACTTTATGGGACTAGGACACGAACCAGGACCAAAGAAGACGACATTAGGAGAAAGCTGACCGAACGGTTGCATGGTGTGGTATCGAACTCAAACCTGTTGGACTTCCATCGACTTTTCCAGACCAAGACCGTGGATTATTCGGGTGAAGAGGTGCAGGTAGCTCGGTCATTCCAATGGAAGATGGTGGAGGCGGCAATGCCTGAGGCCGTAGGGTCATTAGATCTGGAGCTTTTCTGTGGTGAAGGTACGTTGCAGTACATTAAGGATTTCGAGAGCTTCCTGTTGCCTGCCCAGGACCAGAAACTGGGACGAACCCCGACCATCATGGTGGAGCAGCGCCACTGGGCCGAGGTCTGCGCGGGACTGTTGAGGAAGGGGGTTTGTCAACTGATGCATGTGTCCAAGTTACATCATGTTGATGGGCGACCCTTGCTAAACGGTTTATTTGCTGTTAGCAAGCAGGAGACAGCGGTAGATAGTGAGGGCAGGTCGTTTGAGGTGTGTAGGCTCATTATGAACCTCGTTCCAATGCAGAAGCCTGGTGGGAGACACCTCCACTCTGCCCACCATAGTTGGCATGTCCTCGGTGATTCTAGAGGACGGCCAGCTTCTCATCACTTCATCTGTTTTTTCTACTTGTTTCGAACCCCAGCTTCATGGTGGAAGTACATGGGCTTTGCAAGGGAGGTTCCAGCAGAAGCCCTCCCAGAAGGCTTTGTTGGACAAGGGTGGCACCTGGTCACCCAAGTGTTGCCGATGGGGTTCATCAACTCTGCGGCAATCGCCCAGCATGTGCACCGGCGTGTGATCAGTCGAGCACTTCGGGGCGAGAAGATCCTAGCAGGGAGACACCAAGAGCTACGCCGTGATCGCGTCGCCTCCACAGCAGAGCATCTATACCGGGTCTACACTTGGACAACTATGACGAGTTGCAAAAGGTGGACAGGAGGACGGCGGAGGCGTTGACAGGAAAGCCTTCAGCCTGGACCTTGGCGGTGCGGCGAACATATGAAGACTTGGGACTGCCTCGGCGCCCGAAGAAAGCCGTAACCCAAGAGTTGAGGGCTGAAGTACAAGGTGCTTGGTTGGATGGTGAAGCAGGAACTGCGACCCCTAAAGGGGAAAAGGTGGCAAAGTATGTGCGGCTTGCTTGTGAGTTGTTGATACGAGGCAGGGCCTCACAAAAGGAGTTGCAGATTGTTGGCGGGGGCTTTGTGTACATTGCCATGTTCCGACGACCATTGTTGGCAGGACTGAATGCGGTGTGGCGACGGATTGTCGAGCTTGGTGAAGTCTCCCATCCGAAAAGGGAGGCCTTGGGGGATGCTGTTGTGCTTGAGTTGCTCAGGTTTATTGCCATGACTCCGTTGGCGTTCATGGACTTCCGCATGGGGATTTCGGACGAGGTCACGGCCAGTGATGCATCAACGAGTGGAGGAGGTATATGCGTGAGCAAGGAGTTGTCACCCTATGGCCAGGCCGCCGCACAGGCGCACTGCAGGGGAGACATTCTCTCCCAGGAGGATGTGGAGCCGATCCTGATAGTCTCCTTGTTTGATGGCATTGGCGCACTCAGGGTGGCAGTGGACGCTTTGTGAGTACCAGTTGCCGGGTACATCTCAGCAGAGATCTCCGAGGACGCTCGGCGTGTTGTTGAGAGCTGGTTTCCAGAAGTCAAGCACATTACTGATGTAGCCTTGATCGATGAGCATGAGGTCAGCAGTTGGAGCTTGCTCTATCCTAGCGTGTGCGCTGTGGTTCTAGGCGCTGGACCCCCGTGTCAGGGAGTCTCAGGGTTAAACTCAGACCGCAAAGGCGCGCTGAAAGACGCCAGATCCTGCTTGTTTGCTCACGTGCCCAGGGTTGAGCAGTTGCTCCGCAGGTTCTTCCGGTGGTGCCCGGTCTATCGCATTGCCGAGAACGTGGCCTCGATGGACGCTCGTGACTGCAGTGTAATGAATGAGGCGTACGAAGGCGCCCCCTGGTTGGTAGACGCTGGGGGAGTCAGTCTGGCTCGTCGGCCCCGCTTGTACTGGTTCACTTGGGAACCTCTTGTCATCGAGGGCGCGCGTAAGGTGGAGGATGAGAGGCATAGGTTGCCCTTGGCAGGAAGACTTCACCTTGAGGTTGCCGTAGATGAGAAGGACTATGAGCCAGGTTGGCAGCTATGTGTTCCACAGCAGGTGTTGCCGACGTTCACGACGTCTCGACCTTCATCTACACCCGGGCGCAAGCCTGCCGGCATTGAGTTGTGTTCAGCAGTTGAGCTTGAAAGGTGGAGGGAGGACCAACATCGGTTCCCCCCATACCAATATAAAACAGTGAATTGCCTCACCAATGGGACGCAGGTGCGCACACCCAACACTCGGGAACGTGAGTGCATCTTAGGCTTTCCACTGGATTATACTGCAAAATGCTATCCTAAAAGTCAGCAGCACTTCCCAGCCTGGAATGATTGTCGGTTGACTTTGCTGGGGAACACATGGTCGATTCCGGTGATTTGCTATCTGCTTCACTCACTCTTTTGCGTGTTGGGCCTGAACACCCCCTTGACTATGCGTGAGATAGTGCGACGCTTGACACCAGGGGAGGAGGACTCCCTCCCAAGTTTGCTCCTCAGACCACCGTTGAGACGCACCACACAGCAAGGAGGACCGAACGCAGGACTTGTTAGGCGCTTGCTGGGACAGGTTTCGGTGAAGGGCGAAGACTTGTTACTGCAAATGGGCAGTGACATCCCTGCTCGATACCATCGGTTGAGGGCTTGAATTCCAGGAAAACTATGGCGCTGGAAGGAGGTTGCAGGATGGCAGTGGACAGGGTCGCCTGAACACATCAACGTACTTGAGCTTCGAGCTGTGAAGACCGCGCTAGCTTGGAGAATTCGTGAACTCAAGGAACAGAGGACCCGGTTTCTACACCTTGTCGATTCATTGGTTGTACTACATGCGCTCAGTCGAGGAAGGTCCAGCTCTCGAAAGTTGCGGAGGACGCTTGCTAAGATCGCCGCTATGCTGTTGGCCAGTGGCCTTCAAGGTACCTGGGGGTACATTGACACTCATCAGAACCCGGCCGACAAGCCGTCGCGCCGGCCGTTACATCGGAAATGGGTAAGAAAACGTCAAAAGTAGTCGAAGGCCGAAGCCAGCAGCAGCGAAAGGCGGTTAGAAAAACACTTGGCAAGTTGAAAGACCTTACAGTACAACCTCGAACACGTCAGCGGTATGAAGCCAGCCTGCAACAATTCTTCTCCTGGTTGGAACGGGAGGGCCTAGTTCTCCCAAAGCGTGTTGTGCAGATGGACAACTTGGTCTCCGACTATCTGGAGTATTTGTGGGCCGAAGGCCACGGAAAATCAGAGGCAAATAACGCCCTCGCGGCCCTTCAGGACTTTGACCCCAACCTTCGGCGAAAGCTGCCAGGCAGCTGGCGCTTGTTGAAAGCTTGGTCCACAGCAGAGATACCAAACCGCGCTCCGCCAATGACTCTGACTGTCCTCGATGCACTCTGCGGCTGGAGTATAATGCAAGGGAAGCCTGAGTTTGGTCTCAGTCTGAGGTTGGCCTTTTTTGGCCTGTTGCGCACAGGCGAACTTTTAAGCCTCACCTCTAAAGATGTGTACATCACAAGTCCTAAAGGTCCAGCAGTCATTTCCCTAGGACTTACAAAGTCTGGGGCCCGCCAGGGGGCCAGTGAAAGCGTCACCATCCATGATACATCTGTACTCCCCTCCTTGTATAGCTGGAAACGTCGAAGTACTCCGAACTCCTTTTTGACTTTAAAGGCACATGCTTGGAGGAAACTTTTCAACCAGGCGTTGGAGCGCCTTCAGCTCACAGAATTGGGGTTGAGGCCGTACTCGCTTCGGCAAGGCGGCGCGACGTTTTTCTTCCAACACCACGGGAGTTTCGATACATTGCTGCTTCAAGGCCGGTGGGCCGCAGCGAAAACCGCACGTATATACCTGAACGAGGGTCTTGCACAGTTGTCAGAGCTCAAAGTCCCTAATTCGCGGTTGCGGGCATACTGTTCCCTTTACTCTCAAAACCCGATACTTGAGCCTGGGCCCCAAAGGGGACCCAGGTCAGGGGGACGTGGAAGAGCCAATAAAACCGCTGTGTTTCTTGCATGATGGGGGTTGTGGGTGAGAACCCCCGTAAAAGACTC